ACGAAGAAGAAACAAGCAACAGATTGCAGTTTATTGCCTGGCATATTTCGCGGTATCTCATCAGATGCATACTACAGTAATAGTAGTAATAATTAATTAAATTGAAGCAAATAAAAAAAACCTAATTTGGAGAGAACTAAACAGGCTCCAGTGGACCAAGAGGTGAGGAAAAGACGCTGGCGTTGGATAGGACACACACTGAGAAAACAGGAGAACAGCATAACTAGAATGTCTTTGCATTGGAACCCACAGGGGCATAGGAATAAAGGAAGGCCCAAAAAAACACGGAGAAGAGAGCTGGAGAATGAAGTTAGAAAGATGGGGAGGACATTGGGAGGACACGAGGAGAGCATGCAATGGCGAAGGATAGAACGACTTGGCGTGAGTTGGTTGAGGGCCTATGCTCCAATGGGGAATGGAAAGGCAGAAGAAGAACTGAAGCACAAATTTGACTACATTCTCACACTGTTTCACAGAGTTAACAGCAAAGTATCGAGCATTTTCTTCTGTCTGCATAATTCTTGATTAAACTGGCTGATCTTCAGTTTAAAGGTTTCATTTATTTGCTTCATTTTAATTTTTAAAAACTGGCTATTCTCCGAATAACGTTCCCAAATTATTGAGGCCAAAAATATACCCTAAGAGGGCCTCAGTCACGTGTCAATTGCGGACTTATATGTTTGCGGACGAGAAAAAAAAAATTAAGGAAGCTGCAAGAGATGTGGTAGCTGCTGCTCGTGAGTCCCAGCCATCTAGTTTAGCCCCAATCCACGTCGTTCATGCGGCTTGGGGGATACTCTCAGCGGTGGCAGAAGTTGCCAGAAGCGCGCAATGTAAGCTATTGCATCTCCTGCAACTTCCTCCAATTAATTTGCTCGTGAGTCCCAGGCATCTAATTTAGCCCCCCATCCGCGCGGCGCGGGGATACTGTCGGCCGTGAGTGTAACGGCGTTTTGCACATGCCAAAAAGTTTGAGGGCAACAACAACGCTAATCTGCGTCGGTGCACGTAGTCTCCCCGACATGTCGCTTTTATCGTCAGTAATGTTCCGTGTCACAAAATTGTCAATCATTGATCGCTATTATCGTCTGCAGAATCGCTCGAAATTGTCAACGGTTATCGCCTGCTACTATCGTCTGCAATGTTGCGTCTCTTGAAATTGCCAAGTAGTAGTAGTTCTAGATTTGCCGCGATTTGTTCCTTGGCAAAAAGTCCGCATTTTACATATGCCTGAGCACTGTACGGATATTTGTTCGGCCGCCATAATATTGGGTAGAAGTTCGGGATAGCCAAAAGTTTTGAATGGAGCTGAACAATGTCAATTTAAAACACAAAAACAATTAAATGAGATTTTGTAACATTCATAAAAGATCTTACTGCGAAATAAAATAAACACGCAAAAAAAAAAAACTATCACCGACAAATGAAACTGAGGCAGAACTGAATTGATTCTAATTTTGAGCACTCTAGTAGAGTTTCTACCATTATGCCGCCATTACAAATTATCGGAAACGGGTTACCGGTAACATAACAATTTCAGACCAAACATTCATCAATTAAACATTTTTAAAAGGATACAATTGGCTGCACCATAACTTTCTGAACCTTCTGTCCGCCAGCTTTGTATGCCATTGTTGAAATTTGATATGCGTGCTTCAGCGAGGCCTAAAGAAACGATTCGAACTGTAAACGACGCACGCTAAGAAATGTACCGGAAATAAGGAAAGAAACATGGCGGCTGAATGCAGACAGGGCGCCTTTCTTCTCTTATACACAGTTCCGGTTCTAAACACTTTATTATTATTATTATTTATTATCATCATCTTCACCTGCTACTGCTTCTTTTCTTCCTGCCGTTACAAAGTGAAGTGTTGAATTAATGTAATGAGACCCCCGTGTGGGTTCCGGGGCCCCATTGTGGGGAAAACAAGAATAGACCCACTGCCTCCCCAAAAGCATGTCGTAAGAGTCGACTAATTGGGGAGCTTCCTTTGAAGTCGGAGTGCATCTGCCGGAGAGGCAAGGAACCGACAGTCTGTATTCAAAAGAATGAGATCTGTAAAACTGATGCACACGAAACACTCAGGTTCTGGAGCAGGACTGCGGTTCAGTAGTGGACGAGCAACCAGAACCTTCCGCCAGAGTTTACAGCTGGTGAACGCGAAGAAGAAGAAGAATGTTATGAGAGATGAACATGGCAAAGACGATCACAGTGACAAACAAGAATCACTATCTTAACAATTTCTTCTTCTTTCGTTCGCATTTATTTTTTTTTTTGGGGGGGGGGAAAAAGAACATGGCGACCATGGGGAACCAAGAACTAGAGCTTTTTGGCCCTCCCCCTTTTCTTTTTCTTTTCTACCTTGCCCTCACCGAAGTGGGGGTAAAGATGTGACGTTTAGTGATGGGGCTCTGTTTTTTAGCACTATTGAGATTGGTGTTTTCCCATTTTGCCAGGTTTCCCAAACCCGTTATACCCTTTTAAACTTTTTAAAGGGTGGTCCCCCTTTATTCGATAGTACCGGGGCCCATTTTTTTTTAGATGTCCAAACCACTTAGTTTTTCCTTTGACCGGGACGGCATTCCTAGAAATTGTTGTTTTTTTGGATTTTGATTCTCCCTTTTTCCGAAACCCCGCATCTTTCTAAGGCCGAAATAAATATGCCCTTTTTAAGGTCTGGAAAAAAATAGCCCCCTTGCGAGAGTTAAAAGGGAAATTTGCCGGGGCGCCCAGAAATCGGGGAAAGAGGGGGGAAAAGGTATAAAAATCAACGTAAGGGTTTGCCTTTCGGAATTCAAATTTTAGTTTTTGCTGAAATGGGGCCGCGCTTATGGATGTCCCGGTGGCCCCTGTGATGTCGATTCTTAATTAAACCCTTATGGGGATTTTCTTGTTTAAAAAGGGGGAGGGGAAAGTGCCTTTTGGCATTAAAAACTTTGTTCTGACCCGGCTCTGATTTTATTAACCCTTTTTGGATCCAGGGAAAGCCCAGGCAAAACCCTACACTGCAAAACACCCCGGGGGGTGTCCTGGACGAACCCTAAAACCCGATAATACCAGTGGATCGGGAAATGAGGGGGGCCCCGGGCACATAAAGGCTAAAAATGCCCAAAAAGGAAAGTATCCAGAATTGGGGGAGAACATTTTTTTAAATTTTTTTTAAAGGAAAAAAACCTCACAAGAGCAAGCCCCTTTGCAGAAGCGCCCCCTCACGGTCTGCCTGAAAGAAACCCCGGTTTTCCCCGGGTTTTCCCGCCTCGGGGTATTTTCAAATACAGAAGCCATTTTCACCCTTGTGCCCAAAATTCCCGTGTTGTGGGCCCCCGCCCCCCCCCCTTTCGGGGAAACCAAACCCTTTGCTTTTTTTTTTTTTCAATCCGTAAGGGGGCTTAAATTTTGACCAATTTTTTTTCATTTTTTCCCAGACAAAAATGCTGGCCCCCCCAAAAAATTTCCTTTAAGCCCTTTCTTTTGAAATTTTTTTATAACAGAAATAAAAAAAAATTTAAGACAAAATAAAAGAAGGGTTTGCAAAAATCCGAAAATTTATTTTATAGTAATCAAAAGGGGGTTTTCCTAAGTTATAAATAAAAAAAAAAATTCCCGGGGAAAAGGGGGGGGGGTGGGGGGGTTGGGGGGGGGGGGGGGGGGTTTTAAAGGGTTTAAAGAAAAATTTGCACCCAAAGTAAATAAAAAAACTGCCATATTTTTTAAAAAAAAGGGGAATTTTTTGTCCAGCACAGCTGATAACGGTGAAATCGCA